ATAGAATTTCCTGGGTTTGGAAGGGACCTTAAAGATCATCTCATTCCAACCCCCCTGCCATGGGCAGGGACACCTTCCACTAGATCAGGTTGCTCCAAGTCCCATCCAACCTGGCCTTAAGCACTTCCAGGGACGGCAGCCACAGCTTCTCTGAGAAACCTGTGCCAGTGCCTCACAACCCTCACAGTGAAAATTTTTTCCCTAACGTCTCATCTAAACCTGCCCTCTGTCAGTTTTAAGCCATTTCCCCTTGTCCCGTCACTACAGACCATTGTAAATAGTCTCCTTTCCTCTAGGGTCCCTTCAGGCACTGGAAGGTTGCAATTAGTTCACCCCAAAGCCTTCTCTTCTCCAGGCTGAACAGCCCCAGTTCTCTCCGTCTTTGCTTGTAGGAGAGGAGCTCCTTCCCTCTAATCAACTTGGTGGCCCTACTACAGTTTCATTATATACTATTGAAATATAAACTGCATAGTGAGGCCATAGGTCCTCTTTTCTCCTAGTAATGGTTGGACCATCTCATTCATTTTTAAACATACAACTTTTCCTGTGCTTGTAAACTGAAGAGGGTTGTTTTATCTTCTAAGTTTGTAAGTGCTTGTGTTTCAAATACAAGTACTTGGATGTTGCCATAAATAAAGCCAAAGCTTACATGTCCTTCTTCAGAAGCTAGAAGACATGAGAAAATAAACAGATCAAAAGGTGGCTAATTTTCCTCCAAAATTTATCTACAGTATAATTCAGAATTAGTCAATTTATGAGATTTGCCTTGTCCAAAAAAGCATTTGTGTAATTTAGCTTTTTGCTCTGATTTTGTGAAGTTATCTGAGTTTACAGTACTGTTGTGGAACTAATTTGGGCACAGTATCTCCCTAAGCAGATAGTAGTGTAGATCCTTTTCTGCTTCACTAATGCTGGCACAGCTACTGAATATGCTATTGTGTGAGGTTATAAACCAGATAATCTTAATTGGGCATTTCCTGAGAGCAAGGGAGGGATGGCTGAAAAAGGAGAGAATTGGAAACAAGGGCATGCATTCCTAATACACAAATCTGGCTTCCATCCAGGAAAATGGGAGAATTTCCTGTTAGTTAAAATCTTCCAAGAGCTGAAAGCCTGAAGATACATACTGCATACCTTGGGGAGCCAGAGGAAGGGGAAAGGCTGGGAATAAGCTCATGCATGAAGTCCCCAGGGAACTGACTGCTGCCGTGATGTGGTGGGACTGAGGGGTGTGAGCAGCTGGATCTCAGGGCAGCCATAGCATCAGTGAACCGTCTCCTTTGTCTGGCCAAGGATTTGGGTTACCCTGTAGCAGCTGTACCAGCACAGTCTGGTGGTGTAGGTCGAGTCCTGAAGGCTTTTTAGAGTTGAGTCAAATGCTATTCAAGCTACATGGAGTATGTGTGTGTGCATGTATATCATAGCACTGCAGGTATACCTGAAGTCTTGACTCACTGAACTGGAGGAAAAACTGTGGAATCTGTCATGTACATTTGAGGAAAGAATGGCAAACTGAAGTGGCTACAGGAAAATTTGAAAGAATTGGTGTAGATTTCTTAGCACCAGTAGCTGTACCTGGTTCTGTTGGAATGATCTTTTTGGATCTGCATTTGAAGAGGGAAATTGCTTATTAAACTGAATTAAAGTACAGAGAGTTGTAATTCATAATTTGAGCCTCTACTGATGCAAGGTCGGAAAAAATAAGGAATCAGGAAAGAACTGCATTTAAAAAAAATACAGCAACTTATTCATGTTAGAACTGCTAGTTGTGATCTGAATCTTCTCTCACTGACCTGATTTAATTAAAATACATTAGTGTAGGTACTTCAAACACTTGTAAATACTTGTCTGCTGCCTTCTTAAATTTTTATCTTTGTTTTAGTGTAGGGTAATCTCTTTTGGGTATTTTTGATAAGCCTTTGAGTGAATTAGGATTGTAATTGTTTTGAGTATCTCAGTGGTTTTGGACATTTGAGGGTCTATATGCTTCAGTCATGGGTAATAGTAAAATAAATTTCCTATATGCCACAATAACCTGTGTTAAAGGACTATTATTCAGAACAAATGAACTTTGACCATTTTGCCTTTTGTGGAGTAGTCCAGATTCAGTGAATTAAAGTCACATCAAGAAGTAAGAAAGATAAGCTCTTTGAATATGGGTGCAATTGTGTTTCATAAACTTCTTAAGTGAAAAGAAAAGCAAAAAGAAAATTGAATCTCATGTGCTGATAGTGAATGAGGAAAGCATTTGATAATTGCCTGTTCTGTCATTTGCAATGAAAAAAATAGAGTTTCATGTGTGACAGCGTATTGTCAATACAACAGCAAAGAAGAATAATGGCAAGTTAAACATCCTGTTGCAAGGAAGGCCAGTACAAAGTAAAGGTGATGCACTTATGTCAGATTTGAGAGGATGAGGGGAAATGGTGAGTTCGTGAAAGAGAAGGCCACCAGTCAGAAGGTGTGTGAGGGAGGTTTTAGCTGCCCTATGCTGTTTCACAATTGTTTCTGAAGACCTGTTAGTCTATTAGCAGGTGTTAAGAGAACATCTTGGTCAGGTAGAAATAATTTAAATTACAGTCCTTCTAGAAAGGGAAGTGTATCGTCATTTTTTAGCTTCTGCGTCCTTTAAAATGAGTCAATTAGAGGTTAATGGCAACTTGTGCACATCTACCCAAAAAACCAGTCATGTCCAAACCAGACAAATGCCCCAAAGCTGTTAATCTTCATTTGAGGTATTCAGGATAACTGTTCATTTTGCTCTTAATTTCTGTCACTTTTAACCAGGGTGCTTGTGGATTCTCCATGTTTTTCACTTAATTACCAGTTAGAAATTTTGGAGTTGATTGCCTTCAACTCTTGGCCTCTAAAGAAGTGTAATTGGGTGCCTAAATCCTCTCTTGATGAGAAAGGAGCATCTCTGGGCCCAGTTCTGATCTGTTAAGTGTGTATGTCCTTGGGAAGGGGGCCTTGAACCACAGCTTGACACTGGAATACTGAAATGTGGATATAAACTACAGATGTCTAGGTTTATAAGTCACAGCTGTGCTCATAAATTAACAGCTGATATTTTGAACTGCTAAGAGATTGTTTGTTGGTAAACTGTCTCTTCTGTCTTTCCTCAGTCTCTATGAACAATGAATATCCCCCAGTCAGCCTTTCCAAGCGTTGTATATATTGTGGAAGATACAGAAATCTGTTATAATTTGTTGTTATAATAATTTATAATGAAACTATTTTCTGTTTTGTTAACCATCGCGTTGGTGGCAAATAAAAAAAAGAAATCCACTTTACAGCCATGCCCTTGAATTGCTCCTGCCAATTTTAATGCTGTTGTAATTATTTTTCCCAAATACTCAGTTTGGTTTTTTTTTTTTTTTCTTTGCTCCTTGCCAAACCCAGGGGCAGGAAAGCAACTTTATAGGGGAAACAAGTCACGGCTTTGTACAGTGCAATGAAATGCACAGAGTAAACAAACGAGGGGGTGAGGGTTGGGGATAGAGTGGGAGTTTGTTTTCCTGCATCACTTCACTTTTCTTGTGCCAACAGCAGGAGTTTTAAAAGGAAAAGAAGGAAAAAAAAAAAAGGCAAATTGGACTGTTAGCAGTGTCCCTTAGGATCATAAATGAAGGGAAGATTGTGTATGTAATTCATAAACATCCTGAACTATACGCCTTCTATTTCAGCTTATTAGGGCATGAAGTAGTGCCTGCCAGGTTAATTTCACACTGGGGAGTTCAGCATTCAGGCAGCTCCTAATTTCCTTCTCTATGCAAAGATGTGATAAGGAGAGAATAAGGGTATTTGAAGATTTGATTCCAGATAATTCGTTTTAAAGATAAGTATTTTAGGAGTAGCCTCAAGACAATTATAGTTGTTATTTTAAATTGAATTTGGAGAGTAGCAGGAGAATGTTTATTTGTCCCAATAGGAAATACACTTTTTGTCTTGCAAACAAAACCCTGTACTTTACAAAAATCTTCCCTTTAATAGATGAAATTATTGTTTTGAGTTCAGGATGTGGTGGGCAAAGAATAAAAAAGAAAAACCATTCGCAAATACCACCAAGCTTTTCTCCTTTTCCCATCTGCCAAAGGAACAATTTAATTTTTTAGGATGGAACAATGGTCAGTCCTCTGTGTTTTCATGGTTTCAATGGTTAAGATGGTTATAATGTTTAACAGGAGTTCAAGGATCGTTCCAGCCTAGTCCGTGCTTTTTCCTTCTGTGATGTGATAGCCAGAGCATGAGCAGAGTGAATCATCTCTTGGCTCTAAACCAGGGTGGGACCAGATTTTTATTTAAATAAGCAAAACAAAACCAAGCCTCAAAATTCTTATGGAGTGAATATTTAAGAGAACCAGAACCTCTTATTCTTTTCCAATTCCAAGTGTTACTTTGAACTCATTCATGGATGCTGACTGATGTTGTGATTTGGGGCAGTTAAGATGGATTCCTAAAGTTCTACTTCAGCCTCGAGAAACTCTGTATGGACATTTTTGTCGTATTCCTCCTAAAACACCTCAGTGATCAGAAAATATTAATTTTTTGGGGTCTGTGGTTGGAATGGCTTGGAGCTCTATATGTTAAGGAAATAATGGGTTTGAGAATAATTGGGAGTTGAAGAAATTGGTTTTGGTTGGAGTTCAGTCATCTAGTCCCCCTATACTGCCTTCAAAGACCAAGCTCTGGAGTTCTATTTGTTCTGGAGGGCCAACTGTGGCTTTATATGGGTTTATTAAACCTCTGCTGCATAAGCACACCCATCATTTTTTTCTGTTAAAAAAAACCAAAAAACCCTCCACTGAATCTCAAACCCAACCAACCAAAACTATCACATTTGATAATCAAAAGTGCCCAAGTTGCAGGAACTAAGACAAACTTGTGTAACAGGGATTCTCCCCCTTTTTAGTGCATAAAACTCATATGGAGATAATTTTAATGTTTTTTTTGCTGTTATTTGGCTCTTAACTTATTTTGATGATCTGTTGTTGTTTTAGCACCAGCAAACATTTTTAAATCAGCTGAGGGAGATCACTGGTATCAATGACATCCAGGTACTGCAGCAGGCACTGAAGGTAAGACGACTGTGTCTGACTTGTAGCTGAATGTATCTTAATAATTCTTAACTGCCTATGAAAGCCGTAAATCCCACCCTTTCTTACTCTTACCTCTTATTCCTTCATTTCCATTCCCAACTTGAATTTATTCCAGGAGGTAAAAAAAGAGCTAATAATGATGGTTTGTTCACTTTAGAAGGAACCTTGATCTCCTTTGGTACTGACATAATGATTAGTCAGGTGACCAAAGATGAAAAGATAGAAATGTTATGACTTGCCTCTAACCTTTGTCCAAAGTGTTTTGAGATATCATGGTGCTACTACAACTGGTCACCTCTTGAAGAGTTAAGTGTTGTTTTTTTGTCAAGGTGTAGTTGTTTTGTGTCATTCACAGGCCCTGCTCAATATGCAGAATGAAGAACTCTGCTTGAAATTACCACCCTTTGCTAATTTGGTATTGTTTCATTGTTGTTTTTATTTCAACCGTCGTAACTTCTTTCACAGCACAGAAGAGTTCTTTTGATGCAAGTAAAGAATGGCAGGTCTCTCTGTTCTGTTTCCCTATATATATCTATATATATCTCTAAAATTTACAAAATGCCTAGTCTCTCTAAAGCAGAGCTTTTTAGCCATTTATACATGGTAAATGAGGATTTGTTATTGTTAATCACATGCATATATATGAAGAGAGGGAGAGTTGTTGCTTCAGATTGAGCTTAACTTGCATGCACAACTGCTCTTCAAAACCAGTTTAAAAAAGAAATGGTAGATTTTCAGAAGGGCTCACCTGATTCCTGTTGAAACCTGTGAATATGCTGGTTGTGTTTGTTAAGAGGTTGACCTACCTTAAAAGACCTTTAATATTTGTTCTGAAATACGTAAAACTCTAACAAAGTAAATTTTTATATGATGTTTTATCTTTATTTCGGTTAAAAACAGTGAAATATGCAGAATTTGTCAAGTTTGGAAACTTTTTTTTTTTAGTCAGCATTTTACTCAACAGTACAGCCTGTGTCATTGATTTGAAGTTTCTCATGATGTCCTTTGTTTAAAGAAAAATTTAAAAAGGTTGAGGGGACTCTCACTTCTTGCTTTCTTGATGCTTAAAGGACAGCAATGGTAATCTGGAGTTGGCTGTGGCTTTCCTCACTGCGAAGAATGCCAAGGTTCCCCAGCTAGAGGAGGCAACTTACTACCAAACAGCCCTTCCTGGAAATGACAGATACATCAGTGTGGGCAGCCAGGCAGACACCAGTAGGTATTTTTTTTCTTTTCATAAATTTAGTTTAAATGCAAGGAAACTAGAACCTTGCCTGTGAAATGACTGTTAATCTGCTGATAATTCTTATTTATCAGTTTCTAGGTTGTTACATATTTCTTTCCTTATTTTAGTTTTTTTTTTTTTTTTTTATTTTTTTGTTTGTTTGTTTTTAATTTGAGCTATCCTTAAGCATTACCTTTACCTATGTGTATGGTACTGATCAGAGGGTGAATAACTGGGTTTTCCATGTTTTTTTCCCTTTTTTTCCCCCCATATATAGAATTTATTTTGGGCTCATGAAGTAAATAATTTAGGGCAAAAGCTGGGTACTCTTCCGTTATAATAAAATAGAAGAAGAGTCTGTCAATGTCTGTCTTAATATGCTACAGCTTAATATGCTTAAGAGTAGCTTCTCCCTGACAGGGATGACTTTCCAAAAGGGAGAAGTGAGAGGTTAAGTGTGAATTTTGTAAATAAAAGAGTAGATATTTTATATATGAAACAAACATTAAATATAGCTATTTGTAAAGAACTTTGTTTAGTTGATACAGGAGGTTCCACAACCTGCATTTTCCTGAGCCTTGCAGGTCCTATTTCTTCACTGTAGTGCAGAGGTTTTTTTATGGGGAGAAAAATTGTTAAATGTGTTCTGCAAATAAATATGGTAAATAACATGAAAGAAAAAGCCAAAGGATGTTTTGTAGTGGGATTGATTTCTGTAAAATCTGAGTTTCCTAATACTATAGTTACATTTCACAATTCTAAATGTGGATGTAGAATATTTTAATTCTGTATTGATCCTTGAGCCATGTATTTAGTACATCTATGTAGATTTTATTATATGAGTACAGTTAGTTAGCACTGTAGAATTTTTTTATGTCTTTGTTTCCCTAATATTGGTCTGGCTACGATGGCACCATCGTAAAGGGGTTTAGTTAGATCTCCTTATCAATTGTACAATTCTTTTTCTGTCTCTAGAACCTTGACATGAACAGGTTTTTAACTTTTTTTAATTAGACTTGAGTTTATTCTCAGCATCTCAGATCTGAAAACTGCATTTTAATCCTTGGTATTACTAGCAACCCTGTATAAAATGCCCTGAGTACATTATAGGTAGTTCTGTTATCCCTGCACTAAATTGTGGGGTGTGGTTTGGGGGTATTTGTATGATTTTTCTTTTCACTCCCCTGTAAAGAAAACACACACAAGCCCTGTGCCATATATTTAATTTTCAATATCAGAAAATTGCCACTGAGGAAATGGAGACTATTTTCTACAAACTTACCACTGTTTCATCGTCTTGAGTACTCAAGATCTACTATGGCAGCAGGACAGTAAGCAGGATTCTCTTGGAGTCTGTGTTTAATTAGATTTAATAGCAATCCCATTAATAGAATTGTTTAGGTTTGCTGTCACTTAGTGTGCTGTGCAACCTTACTGAAGATATCCGGTGATAAGGGATATGAATCAAGTCTGCAGAGTCCACATTACCCATGACTGGTGGTCAAACTGGGAAGAGTAGGTCTTGAGTTGTACCATTTCAGGATTCTCTCTTCTTTTCTGGAGGGCAGAAGGCAAACCCAGATTCTTAGAGTTACACACCACTACAAGTCTCTAGTCAAGAAGCACCAACTGTTGTAGGAAAGTAGTTTTTTGTTTTTGTTTTTGTTTTTTTAACATCTTTAGTGTCTGGTCAGGTCCTCACTGGCAACAAAGATGAGAACCCTTTACCGGCCTTTGCCATTTCAGACTGAAAACGTGTTATGAGATAAAGGCACCTTAGCTGACTCTTCTTCGTGTTGGAGAACTTACAGGGCAAGAAGTAAACACTTAAAGCAGAACAGAAGTCTGAACCAGTGTGATCACAGGGCTCCCGCAGGCCCCTGTAGAGGTCTCATGAAAGCTTCTGGAGGAAACCTACAGTTCTTCTGTTGTAATCTGCCTGTAATTATTTGGATCGTGGATTTAAAAAACGCAGTACACTAAAATGAACCAGTTTCAGGGCCGTGTTAGACAGTACTATCATGTAAGGGAGTATCTAGAAAGAGAGCAGAAGACTTGTGAGAAGAGAATGGAAGGGTGGGTATAGATGGAAAACACATTCAGCAGCAGTGGCTTCAACCATCAACACTCCCTTCTGCAAAGAATGCTTATTAGCAGTTCTCAATGACTGTGCTGAGTTGCTGACGGTAATCCTGTCTTTCAAATTTGACTCCCTTTATTATCCCACATAGGTATAATTACATATATTAATTATAACTCACCCTTACTGTTCCTTACTGCCTAAATACCTCTGTGCTTTTGGAACTTAGGATGCCGTGAGTCACTAAGCTTTGCTGTCTGGCCAAAGTAAAGCATCCAAACTGGGAATGAGTCATAGATGAGTATCAGAGCTGTCTTTTATGCCACAGAAAACCTTCAATCACTTAAAAAGGCTGTTACATGTATTCCTCACATAAAGGTATATCAAGTGTGTTCTGCAAGCTTGACTGACTGCATTTCTTTGAAATGGTTTCTTAGTTAAGGGGTAAAATAAAAATGCCTATGTATAGCTTAGCAGCCAGCAATCAATTAGCCTGGATTGTGCACTGGCTCTTACAAAAGTGACAGTGGTCATAAACTGTTCGAGACTTGCATCCTCTATGGTAGGAAATATAAGAAAATCTGGTTTCTCTTAGTAGCAAATGCAACATTTCAGCAGCTGCAGAAATATTAACGAGTTTGCATAAAATCTACTCCGTCTTTAATGCAAAGACTGACTTGCACAATCAGTGTTGCTCATAGTGCTTGCCTTTTTGACTGTTCAAAATGGCATGTGCAAGCATCTCCAAGTGCATTTTTTCCCACACCAAGAGTGATGCACAGTTTATCTGATCCTTTGCAAAGATGGTTTCAATATTTTTGGGTTTTTTTCCCTTCCTTCAATCTGTTAGTGAGCAGAACATGCTTAAACATTAGTCTGGCAGTGCAGAGATGCATCCCTTTTAATCTAAGATCATTTGACGGTTCCGCTTAGTAGAGTAAATCCTAGGCATTGCACTTAAGCAAATCAATAGAAGTTTAGTAGTACTTTCGAATATTTTTACTTTATTGATTTATCTAGAAACATTTTTTTTTGGGTGTAATTCATGTATTTCATCTATGGATGCACAGCAGAACTGTTGCATTGCTAAACGTGTCTGTTTTCTTCCTGTTGGAGGAGCTTGCAGAACCCAAGGTTAAAGGAAGCAACAGAATGAAGATAAGACATGTATTTTAGAAGTTGTATTGTCTTCAAATGACAGAGCTGTCAAGACAAATTCTCTTCTTCTCTTATTTTGAAAACTTGAAGTTATTTTTCACTAAAACTGAATTACTGTAATTGCACATTTCATAGCCAAAAGATTTCAAGCCCTTTTATAAGGTCATAGTCTAATATAACTATTAAATGCCACACACAGCAATTCTGAGGATTGTAGACTTCATTGCCTCTGGCTTTTTGTATCTTCCTGTTCTTGCGTTTGACCCTTTGCATAGATTCAAGTCATTCTGTCGGCTCATTGCAGTGAGGTAGACTTTAGACACCTAACTGCACCCAAAATCTCTTGAAGTGATATTTATATAACATTTCTTACAAACCATTCCATTCTAGGGACTCTGAAAAGTTTATGAGGTAGTTTCTTTTGGTGCTTCAGTTCCTTACTTTTAGACTCCTGATATCTTGCCTGAATCCTTCTTGTTGCAGGTTAACTCCTTTACTCCCTATGCTGTCCCCTGTGGAAATTACAGTACACTTCATTCCTTTTATCTCATTCCTTTCATCTCAGATGAAGTGTTGCATGCTCAAAGACAGTGTTTCTCAGACCTAAACTAAACAGCCCAAATTCTTTTCAAGTATTTGGATGCATTTTCTATTTCTATTGTCTTTTTTTTTCTTCTCTTCTAGACCTTTGTTTTCAGAGCCACAGTTCAGAAAAATCAGCTTGGTTTTTAAGGAAAATGGGTGAATCTATAAATATCCATGTAGTACTCTGACAAAAGTGAAACACGTATTTTCTTCTGTGCTGTGATGTGAATTGCAGATTGAACATGAATTGGCTGTAGCTCCTAGGTCCTTCTTGGCACAAGTCCTAGTCAGTCTTTATTCTATAGCTGCGCGCTTGTTTCTGTGAGTAGAATTCAACACTTCCTTCTTCTGTCACCTTACCTAACTCATCCATTTCTCTGTGTCTTCATGACATTTCCTTCCATTTCAGGGATTATTTGTGTCATCTCCATCCAGGTTCCTGGGAGTATCTCCAGCTTGGTATGGCAGGGTCCCTGCTTCAAAATGTCAGGAGTCTTGTACCTTGAGGTCCTCCTTTAATCTTACACCTTCACTCATTCCCCTGTGCAATGATTACTTGTCTCTTTCCCATCCCTGTCCATGTGAGAGTATTCAGTTTAAGGTGTTATCATTGCAGGACATGGTAAATGCAGCTGAGAAGAGGAGTGTGTAAGACAGTGGTGGCAAACATTTACTGGCTCTTGCATTAGTAGGGCTGTTTGACTTGACTGAGGAGGTGCTGCAATGCTGTGTATTCTCTCTTCATCCAGCTTTAACCAAAATGGGCATATACAGCCACCTAAATTCCTTTAAATCTTCACGAAGGAGCCCGAGACCATCTTGAGTTTAACATCACAGAATAGATAGTAGAACTCAGGATCTTGCTTAACTCTGCTTGTAATAAATAAAATGGGTGTAGTCTTAACGTCCTTTTTTTTCTCCTTATCTTGTTGATGTGTTGAAATTGGAATCTTGCTGGATTTTCATACTTGACACCTGTCCATTGGGCTGCCCCTTCCTTTTTTTTCCCTGTTCCAATTGTTGCATCACTGTGGATGTTTATTGACTGTCCCTGGGTCCAGTTGCCACTGGAGATCTGTCCCTCATGCTGAGTTTCCCAGCCTCCTTAAATCTGAAGTTCTTACTCTCTGCCTCTTCCTTGTATAAATAACAAGTCAATTATTGTAATTATTTTAATGACCTAGGCAATAACCAAGTAAGAACCATTTATTTAAGTGATGATAGAAACTTCCTAAGTAAACAGATTAATAAGACATTATTTTAGAGAAGAAGGAAGAAATATGGTATAGCGGGTGCATTTACTATAAATACACTAGTATATTTGTCACAAATTTCAATATACAACTTAATTTGCTTTCTAGATTTACAAACAATGTCAAACTCTCTGAATCTTATGCACCAGAAGCACATGTTGTTATATAATAGTACTGTAAACCAAGAATACATTTCTTAGTAAAACAGATGATTAATTATACATGTTAATTGTAGCTGAATAAACATGAATACACTAAGCCAGACTGTTTTGATGAGCAGTTTCTTCGTTCATAGAGAATTTCTTCATAAGCAAACTTTTTTTGTTTATTTAATAGTCACGACCTGGTTACGAAGGTTTGCATTTTCTCAGGCTATGTTGACATATGGTGAGAAATACCTTTATAAGGATGAGCCAGTGAGAACTAAAGTGCTCTGTGGCTTAAATGAGAGGAGTATTACAAAATCAGCAAATGTAAACTGAAGCCAGGTAACTATAAATTCGAACAACTGGCATTATTCTTACATCTTTATGAAATGCATTCTTCAGCCTATCACAGAAAACTCATGTGTCTGATAAATACTTTGGGTAAAAGTCATCTTATTTTAATTTCAAACTCAGACCCGGCACACAGAAATCTATTAGTCAGATAGAAAACTTCAGTAGCTCAATTTCATGAATGAATTCTACCAATAATTGGTATAAAATAAACATTCCCATGTATGAATTTACAAAATGTGAAGGTATTTTAAAACAAAAGCAAGGAAATAAAAACCTGCATGAATTTCATGTAGTATATCTACACATGTAGTATATCTACACTTGTATAATCTATAACCATCTGACAGGAATGGAAACTATTCAGAAAAGGTCATATATATATTTTTGTTTTTTTAGAAAGAGAAGTTTAGTGTCAGACTGGTACCCTTCTGTTATGATTTCTATTGAGATCTCTTCTTTATAATCTGTGATTTAGGATTCAAGTCATACGTGCGCTGTTTCAGCTTAATGAGTTACTGTGTCAGCTGAGATGCTGAAAAAGACCTTGAACCTGCTCCAACTACAGCAAACATGAACTAAAATACAGTAGCTTAAACCTCCCAAACATTTTGATTTTACACTTTTATGAACTAAAAGCTTGCATGGAGTAGGTTACCATGGATTAGCTGATATTTATAAATATATTTTTCCAACATGTATTATGCTGGATAAACCTTGGTGACATAAAATCAATTGCACCACTCACATGTGGTGCCGATATCTGTCAGCAGGTCTTCACTGTGTTGTCTCTTCTTCATGCAAATCAGGGGCAATGTATATGTGAAAAGAACATTTCTAAAGAGAATCCTGTATTGCCTGCTCCAAAACCCGTGCATGCCAAAACAAACTGTTGTGTTCATCTGCTTTTTGAAAGCAAGCGGAAGTCAAGGATTTGAGGTTTTAATATTAAAAGGATATAATCACTGGTAATATCAATGGCAGTAAACTTCTGAACACATAGGGTGGTGGTGCAGATTAATAAAGATAAGAAGCTAAGGACCTGCAAAGAATTTGCATATTTCAATTAGAAGTGTGAGTTGGAATTGATCTGGATAGATTTTTGGATAAAAGTGGGAGGTTTTTTTTTTTTTAAGCTAAGTTATGAGTTCTTTTTTAGAAAATACTCCCCATATAAAAGATCTTACTTCCTAATTTTTTTTTATAGTTGTATAAAGATTTCATCACTCTCACCTGAATAGTGATGGGAGGAATCCCATACTTCTCCATCAGCACGTGCTTCTGCTGGGTTGAGACTTTACTCCATCTTCAGTTGTGACTACTATTACTGCTTTCAGAAAAAACAGGTTGTCTTCCAAGGAGATGAGGTGCTGTGTGTGACTCCTTGCAAATGTGTAGAAAATACGACACAAACACCCCATTTCAGGGCACAATAGGTAGTGTATGTGGTGAGGGGATCCTGTCATTGCTGTCAACCTTTCTAGCCTTTCTCCTGCTCTCAGGCTGTAGAACAGAGCCATGCTTGCATATGACCCAGGTTAAGGTGTTATTTTAGCCTAAATCACATTGCTCTCAACATGGAAGCTCATATATTAAAACCTCTCTGGGTGAGACTTCTGGTGGTGGTTCTAATTGCTTTAGTACTTCTGAAGGAGAATTTGAGGCATCTTGAGTTGAAGTATGCTTTTGTTATGCTGGAAGATCTGAGCTGACTGTAGAAGACATAAGAATAAAGTTACAAAGTGCTACTTCTATGGTCATAGTGTTTTTCCATGCTAGGTTTTAAGATGCTGGTGTTATCAGAGAAGCTTCTTTTACAATTTCTTTTTGGTTTCAGCTTCCTGCAAGGACAGGGCATCTCATTTTCAGTTCATACACAACCATGGCAGTGATTTTTCAATACTAAGTTCAGTGTTTTTTGATCCAGTGAGAAATATCACAAAAAAAGAAACCCCAGGGAAATAGGGGAAGCTGCAGTCTTGACAGTAAGTCAGCCCATCCAGGAGGACAGTCAGAAGCTGGCAAGCTCTTAGGGTACGATTGAGTTGGCCTGTAGAAGGAGAAATGCAGACAAGCCTCTCATCCCTCTTTGTGAACAACTGGCAGTTTTGAAGCTGTATCCCTTTCTCCCAGAGTTTTTCAGCGTCTTAGGGTCAAACCCCAAGCTGGAGGCAAGTCCCTTTCATAACTCTTTGGGTAAACTTTGGCCTTGGAGGAGGGAGACTGAAATCAGCCAATGCTCTGTGTGTATGTCTGTCTGATATTGCACTTAAAAGTCTCTTTTGAACTTCCCCTCTCTTTCTGTTTGGCTGACTTGCAAAATGAGACTTTTGCCTCTTGAAATCACGATAACCAATGACCTTGGCTTTTTTGAAGGCCTTGTGCGGTTGATGGACATTGCTGTTGGCTGTGCCTGATGGGAGGATGGTTAGTGCTGTTGTGTGTCATGGAATCCCACCTTACTCGGGAGTAGGGGTGCTGTGGCTGCCCTCAGGAAACAAGGAGGTTTATGCACGACACTGGTGTTTGATTCCTTAGATAACAGGAACTGGAGAAGGCGGCAGAAGTAGGGTTGTTTTCATCTTCATTACCCAGTCAGTAGCCCATCCAGCATTATGCACGTATCCAAGTATGGACCCTCATTTTGTCTTCAATATTTGTTTTCTTAGTTCTTGTGTTGAGATGGGAGACTTCCGGTAGACAGGAATTGGATTTAAGTACGTTCAGAAAAGGAATGCACAGACAGGATAGAAAATAATTAGGTTGAGTTAGGCACCCTCCCGCATGATATGAAACCATTTGGCTCACCAAGGCACAGAAATACTTGCAGAATTTGGGGCTTTGTTGGGAAAACTCTGATGTGTTCCTTCATGAGGAGGGAAAAACAACTATGCTCAGTTAAGGTATTCTTTCTAAGGAAGGTTCTCTTCATCATGTGTTCCCTGAAACAACTGATTACAGTAGCTGAAGTAATGCATTTAAGTGTATTGCTGCAAGAGGTCTTTCACAAACCATGGATTCCTAAATTTGTCCCAGAGCTTTGTGAAACTTAAGAACATTAGGAGAAAGGGAGACTTAAGATCTTAGCAAGAGCAAGCTGGTGAGGCTTTTATCTGGCTTGAAGGGAGCTGTTAGCAGCGTTAGTAGTTGGAAGAGTGTAGGGCCAGGAGGGATGGACTGGAATGGCACTCAGCAATCCACGTGGGCTCTCTCTCCTCTACAGTAAGACTTACCTTTCATTCTGTTTCACTTTTAATTTTGAGAAAGATAGTTTTGCTTTTCAGATGTGATTGATCTCACTGGAGATGATAAAGATGATCTTCAGAGGGCAATTGCCTTGAGTTTGGAGGAATCAAACAGGGCATTCAGGGAGACTGGAATAACAGATGAGGAACAAGCCATTAGCAGGTAAACAACCAACTTATATAAAGCAGAAATTAAATTAAAGAGTTGGAGATTGGCCTGTATTGCTTTTCTTTTTAACTTTTAATTTAACAAAGAATAACTTGTTTACTTTCACTTGTGCTACTGATATGCCTGGCTTCAGGATGTTGCTTTAATGTATTGTATGTTCTACACTGGAAAATAGTCTAATATGTGTGGACTAGGATTTAATAGTATGTTTCATATTAATGTATTAAATATTGAGGAAGTGGATGGAGATAGAGAATATATGGTCATATTTAAATAGGACCTAAACCCAGAACTTTCTCTTGTGTATCAGGTAAAAAACAATGAACCCAAAGTTTAATTAAGAAGCTATTAAATACTTTGTCCTGTTTTTTGCAGGGTTCATTTTACAATAACATTTTCTTACCTCTGTGCTAAGGCTGAGGTCGAGGGAGGGGGTATTAATACTATGACTTGAGTATACTAAGAGCAGCTGCTCTATTTTAGCTGATTAAGTATGTTATTAACCTATTTAACAAATAAGATTTACAAGCTTTGAGTGAAGTTAACTTTTTGATTTAAAGTTTTATAAACTTGCTCAATCTGGGTGTGATAAGTGAACTTTTGATCAGATTTAATGATAACTTTTTGTACAGTGTATACTTTTGGTAATTTTTATATAATTATGAAATATGTGGGACTTGAACTAAGCCTGGGTGTAGGGTTGGGTGGGAGGGATGTTGTTTTGTTTTGTCTTTTTTCCATCTGTGACTGGCTTTGGGAGGGACTAGACTTGTCCTAGAGGAAGCAGGCAATGATTGGATCCTTGTTAGTAGGTAAAGTACTGCCTCCTTGTAAAAGACCAGTTTTAAAAAACAAAATTTAGATGGGGCTATTAACCACAATAATTCTTTTTCTCAGTTCACTCTGACAGACTGAATGGCTTATTAGAAATTTCCAACTCTGAGAATATGAATATCTTATTAATTTATTTATATTACTTTACCCTCAATAATTTTCTTTTTCTGTTTGAAAAATAAATATATTAATTGTAAAAGTAAACATATCCTTGCTCCCCCAATCTGTGATAAAATCCATCTTGTTATACAAAGTTAGCATATTTTAGCAGGGAAAGGTAGGCTGAGAGGGATTTATATTCTCTTTAATAATTGGGAGAAGCTTTTAAGAGTTGGGTTTTTTTTTCAAAGACCTCAACATGTGCGTGTATACAAGATTGTGGTGCAAGTTCTGTCCAACTCTGTTTCAGAGTTCAACTTGTGCCTGTTCCTCTTTGAAGGCCGAAATTGTCATAATTACAGAGTTGTGATTTAGGCAGGCACTCAGAAAGATGGACCTATTTCTGGACATGGACAATTTTCTCCCTTTTTTCTTTCCCCAAGCTTTGACTGCTTCTGCTGTGCTCACTTCTTGCGAACCTTGAAGATTTAGGTTTCTTCCCCTGAAGAATTTTTCATTTCTCAAACTAAAAGTGTCTTTTGTGGTTTTTGGTCCTATCTGTTTAGGCCATAACTTAGTATTATAAATACTTTCCACTTAAATTACAGTGTATATTTTCCTGGCTGCAGAAAATAACAAAGTATGCCATTTTTTCTGTATGTACTAAGGCATGTAGATAATCTACTCAGTTATATGCAGAGAAAAATGTTGGTCTTTTGATGAGATAGAGTTGGTATTTAAAGGCAAAATTGCACACAGTAACATTTGCCAAATCAAGAGCTTGTTGCAGGCCATATCCCCCCCCCCCCCCATCCTTGGTACACTGTGCCACATTTTCTATGCTTGCTGTAATATTCTTTGAACCTGTTGCACAAATTCATTTCCCAAACCCATACAAAAATAATCACTCAAAGACCCACAGTATATCATGACATAAGAAAAGGATTGGGACTTTTCTTGTGAATGGAGGCAGAGAAGAGTGAGAATCTTGGAGGTTTTGGCAGCCTTGAGATCAATTCAGTAACATGGCAAAAAGCACCCTGAGTTGATCACAAATTATGTCAGTGTTAAACAAATACAGGAAGTTCAGAGTTCTTGGAATTTTTGATCTGAGCTGTTCAATCAGTTTCTTTAAAGACAGAACTTCAATCTGTTTTTATAAATAAAATCAAAAAAAGTACTTTGTAGTTAACACCCCACAGAAGAATGTTGGCATTCCAATCGAAAGCACAGTATCTTCGCAGGACTTCTCAAAACAAAAAGTAGAACACTGTGCTTGTAAACAAGTCAAGCTGCAACCATTTACTTTTGATTTTCTAGATTAAACAAGAAGCAGAAATCAAATAGGAAGTCAATAATAAGCAAATTAAACTATGGAATTCTTTAATTTTTAAAAATGTAGGCCATGTGTGTATTTAAATAGCCTTTGGTGTGGAGGATTTTTTTTTTTTTTTCCAAAGGTATTCATAGTGGTTTGGAACCTAACTTGCACAGATTTTGTTAGGTTTCCAAGGGAGAATTAAAGGAATTTCTTGACTTGTGTAATTAATGTTGTAATGCACGTAGAATTTGTGTTCCTGAATGTAATTGCTTTGTGCTACTTAATGAGGACAGATTTGATTACTATGTGAGCGGAGTGCAGCTGAAATGTCCAAGTGTCCAAGCTGAACATCTTGTACATGGCAAGTTTAAAGTCTTTTACTCTTCCCTCTTTAAATATCCCAGGGAAATGAGCATGATCAGGGTATTTCCTAATACGGAAAAATTTCTCCTGTTTATATCACTTTTTGTGACTTGAAGGCGTCTGAGGCCGACCAGATAGGGCTTCACTGGGGAAACCGGGGAGATGCGGCTGAAAGGAGAAATTAGCTGGCCTGTGTTGTGCCTGGGGTAGTATCCACATAAAAATGAGAGCCCATGCTGTCAGTGCACAAGGGATGTGCACAGCCTGTAGGCTTTTTTTTTTTTTCTTTTTTAAATCATGGTCACTGAAACTGCTGAGGACTCTGCACTGTGGGTTTTTTGTGTGTAGATCCAAGGTGGGACTGAGGAGGGTTGTGGAGTCAGGGGTATTCCTGGATGTCCAGCTGGAGGACAGTCACAGTGCAAAGACCTTTCTTTGTTCTTTTAGCTGAGTTACCCAACAGAGAGGGGTTTCCTGCAGCATGTTGAGTGGTTTGGCTGAGCCATTGACTCTCTTTGCCCGAGGGTTATTGCTTTGTCTGGCAAGCCCCGTGCAGCTCTGCAGAGCTGCTTGGCTGTGCCCAGCTTGTTACAGGGAGAAATAAAACACTGCTTTCAAGTCGAATGCCAGGCCTGGCATTAACTAAGCCCTCGCTGCAGCATTTCCCTCCAAACAAGATTCCAGCGCTGGGAGGCTGGGGAGCCCTGGGTCCCGTGAGGCCGGAGAGATGCCAAACCCTGCACGTCGCTTATGGCTGTGGGCTGGTGGCTGCTGCTGTCATCCCTAGGGGTCCCAGAGTGGGGGTTCAGCTCTGTCATCTGAATTGCTAAATCCTTGTGCTAACTCTTGCAAAGGCTGGTAATTTTGTTCAGAACTGTGTATGAGTAAGATTGCTTATCCAGGTAGTCCCCTAAGTCCAGGACTGTTTGAATGGAATACAGTGAACATTATAATATAAGAGATACTCCCTATGGTAAATACACTCACTTATGTAGCTTCTGAGCTGATCATTAGGTTCCTATTTACTGTACTTGCTTCATTTTATTTCACTTTTTACTTTTTATTTTACTGCATCACAGCTTTAATGAAAAAGAATTTGGCACATAGAATGTGCAGCTATTCCATGTGCTCTCTGAGGATAGATAGTCTTAAAAGTAAAATGAGGGAAAAATATCATGAAGCTTTGAGAATCAAATACTTTATTGATGCATGGAAACAGATTTGAGGTAGAGCTAGAGATGAGGAAGTCCTTTACCTGCTAAAAAAAGAAGCACAAAATCAAATACAAGGAAGAAATTTTAGTAGGTAATTAAGCTGATGAGGGGTGAGATATCTTTGGGGTCAGGGAATTGTTTCTGTATAAGAATATTTATTTTTTTTACAACCTTGAAGTATCTTGAAGTACTCTTGAGTTTGGGGGAGTAAGGGGGCAAAAGGAAGTTTAATTGTTTCACTGAAACACAAGTGGTGTGGAGTAGGTATTGTAGTCCTGTTACAACATCATTCTCAGTTTATTCCAGTCTGTCAGTTTTTGAAGATCCCTTCAATTTAAACAGAATTTTTAGTAATTCTACCTGCATGAGAAAGTATTTGAACTATGTATGATATATTTTTTGATTCATTTTTAATGTCCCCATTTAATAACTTTTGCTCTCAAAACAGAGATACACTGGTCATCTAAAACTTGTGAAGAATTGTATTGGTTAGAAGTTTTGGTTGACTGTTTTTTTTATGTTTTGGGGTTTGCTTATGAGACCATTATTGTAAAAGACTTTTAGAATCATCAGCTATTGAAGAGTTCCATCCCTTGTGCATTGTTTGAAGAGGTGTCAGAGCAGAAAGTCTTAGAGTATTATAAGCCTGTCCTTTCAGTGCTGTTTATAAAGTTATGTTTCAAAAAGTACATGTCAGAAATTGATTAATCCTTAGGAAATTACCAGTTTTAGGTATTTCCTGAGATACATTGGTACAGAAGTGGTATTTGCACCAACCAGTCTCTCAAATTCAGAATGCTGCTTTTATTTTATTTCAAAATAAGTAGCAATAACCAATTAGTATGTCCCCCAAAGGAGTTACCTGCAGTAAATTCAGAGGATGCTTCATAGTTCTTGCTAACATAATCTTTCCTTTCTTTGACAGGAACATAGCTTGAAACAAAAATGTAGATAGGAAACTGAGGGATTACATTCTGTGTGTGACCCTGTTCCCCCCCACTGTTCAAACTTTGTCCTTGAGGAGCTCCATTTACAAAGCAGCCTAAACTTGCCTTTCTTTGGTGTTTACTGAGTCTAGAACTGAAGGGGTGCGGTCCTTCACACTGCTCAGACTGCCTAGATTAGATGCTTGTCACGCAGCTCCTGGAATCCTGTGCCTGGCAAATGCAGCAGCTGGAGAGCAGCTCAGCCTTTTTTATGACAGTTGGACTGGATGGTTGGGGACAGTGACCACTGTGTCAGTAGTGCACATGCCAGGCAGCTTTGCTTATGAGTTAGAGCCACTGTTACATGACCTGAATATATTCATGTCCATCTTCCTGTTTGGAATATGCCTACCACAAATTACCCTTAAGGTGTTCTTTGTCACCACACTAAGGATATGAGCTGATATAGAAGTAGTGTGTTGAGTGAAGCTTAAGAGCTTCACACCCATCAGATCTCACTGCCATGTGAAATACAGATATTCAGCATAAATCACTTAGGAACAGTTTCCTGCAAGGAGTGTGGTCATTGAAGCACACAGTTAACTTGTTGGGTGGCATTTTGAAAAATGGTGGAGGGAGATGTCTTTCCATGGCTCATAAAGTAATTGCTTGCTATGTAAAGTGATTAACACAGTTGCATAAGTTGCAAAAATGGAAACTAAGAAAACTGCTTTCATTTTTGAAAGTTGCCTAGCCAGCTTTGGCTTCCTGTCAGTAAAAGAAAGATTGGTGACTTTGTGCTTTGCATAGCAATAAAAACGTTTGTAGATGAAAGCACTGCACGATTAGTGCTGCCTAAAATTTGTCCATCCAGTCTGAATCTGGTTCTTAAATAATTGATGACTTGCAGACATGGCACCTGTATCTTGAGCTCTCACAGGAGATTCATGCACTCACTAATACCCTTTTCCAAAAGGTAATGAAGTTACTGTAAAATAGATAAAAGTAAAATAGCATCTTACTTTTAAAGACATGTTATTGTATATAAGTTTAAAACCAGGCTCATCAGCAATAAGTGAATGATGTTATTAAGATGTCTGTATTAGTAGTTGAAGGTATTTTAGTACATAATAGGTTTTTTTGGGGTTTGTGGTGATTTTTGCTTTTTTTTCCCTCACATTTTTCCCTCCCTTCTGTTCCCAAAGAGTTCTAGAAGCCAGTATTGCAGAAAATAAAGCAAGTTTAAAGAGGACGCATCCAGAGGTATGGAGTGACTCTCCAAACCCTTACGATCGGAAGCGGCAAGACAACTGTCCAGTAGGATTAAAGAATGTTGGCAACACGTGCTGGTTTAGTGCTGTCATTCAGGTAAGCACCCCCTTCAATTAGCTGGTGTGTACCCTTCATTGTATCTGTTGTGAGGTGAGTTAGCTTATTTTACGTGAATAGCTTAAAATATCTGTTTTCCTGGGAAGCTTAGGCCGCTGCATGAGATGTTTTTGAGCATTACCTATTTATTGCATCTCTTAACGTGTTCATCCATAAGTCTGATTGAAGTGTAGAAAGTACTGGTAGCATAACTAAGTGAAGCTTCAAAATGTTTCTCATTAAGAAGTTGTGGAAGACAAGGAGTTGAGTCTCTGAAGATCCTGGGCGTCTGCAGCTCATACTGACATCAATGACAATTGTGGATGCCTAAAAACATGTGAAAATTGGATTACAGATGAGGATCCGACTTTTTATATTAAAAGGAGCGCATGCAAATGTCTGAAAGGGGGTGGCTGACAATGGAGGTAGGTGGAGGAAATGAGACACCCTCAATCATGGAGTGCTTACTAGAATAGCTGCAAGGGGATGGATAGCTGGGTAGGGTAAAAGAAGGAACAACTGATAAAGAGGGAGACCTGAAAAAGACGAAAGGGAAAGTCTGATACCGCTGCAATTGTCTGGTTTGGGTTGCTTCACCTAAGAGAGCCAATGTGTGTGTCTGTTTTTGTGTATGTGTAGCTTAATTAAAAACTAGCTTGTTTTTTTTTTTTTTTTCCCAGATAGGGTAAATAGGGAAATAAGTACAGATACTGCAACTTGTCTAGTGAAAGCTCATGTTCTTATATCAATAGTTTGTGTACCTAAACTTTATGAATCCATCTTTTAGGAGATTTTTTTTTAGAAGTGATTGCTAAATCTATATATGTTTTTGGAAATAATCTGTAGGTCTACTCAGAAGTATTCCAGTGCACTGAAAACTGTATGTTAAACTGTAATACAATAGGGGAACACTTATTTTTAGTGTACAAGAAGTGAATTCGGCATATTGTAACTTTTCGTAGTCTGACATTGGAGAGGAAGCAAATAAAATATTAAATATCCATTTTTAACAAATTACTGTCAGGCTGATGCACTTTTAGATAAACTAATACTGTTGCTTTCATACTGATGGTTGTTGTACTTCAGGCTGAGTCCATTTAGATCAATGTTCTGCCTAGCAATTTCACAAATGGATATGTACAGAGGAGCACAGCTTGCATGATACTGCTCTGGTAAAACACTCCTGAGCCTCTAGTTACTTTCACCTTGAAGGAGTTTCTTAACCCTCTGCAATTTGTTTAGTGAAACCCCAGTGGGCCTCTCTTGTATGTACTTGTCTTCCTTGACCTTGCCAACTTCTTGCACCCACAGGGTCCTTTGGGTAGGAATTCCATAGTTGTGCTCCCTATTGCATGAAGAACTGCCATGGTTTTGTTTGTTTTTTGAACCTGGTTCCTGCTAACTTTGTCTGGTGGCCTCCATATCTCCTGGTGGACAGGTTAGAAGTTGATTGCTGTTACAGTTCTGTGGCTGCTGCCCTGCTCTCTTTTAACACCCTGCTGGTCTCTGTATTTCCAGGCTGGCTGCTGAATTGCAACCTGCACAGAATGTGTTCTAACCTCTCGTCCACTTTGTTGCTTTTCTCTGGATCTTTCCTGCTCTAGTAGCATTTTAGTTGGGGAACCAGGAAAGTTCTTAAGGTGTGAGTGGGCTATGAATTTGAGTATGGTGGACAGATACAGGCTCTTCAGGAAAAACAAATGAGGACAACAAGGAAAGGTGTTTTCTGCCTTGCGAAGGAGTAGATCAAATGTATGTGATACTTGTGTGGGACAGAGATGATGGTTTTAGATAAGAGTTTGTGGATCAGGTTCAGAGGAGAGGCTGGTAAAGGTGCCACCTTGATTAGTCTATTACAGACTACCCTCCTCAGGTTGAGGATGTGGACAAAGCCTTCTTTAGAGGCAAAGAAGTCTCTGGATTATGGTCTGGAGTTCCTGTGGGGAGCTTTAATAAGCATCCTGACCCTTGCTTGGGCCACCATAACAGGACACAAGCAAACCAGATTTCTGGAGAGTATCAGGGACAACTTCTTGACACGAGCACCAATGGGCCAACCAGGGGTGATGCACAGCTGAATCTGCTGTGGGAAAACTGGAGATGTAGTAATGTGGGTACTCTTGACTGCAGTGACCATGAAAAAGTAGAGTTCAAGATCCTGATGGGAGCAAGGAAGAAGTAGCAGACCCTAGAGTTCAGGAGAGTAGACTTAGACCAGGAAGCTGGTATCTGGGATTCCATAGCAGGCAGCTTGGAAGGGCAGATTTGCTCAAGAGGGCTGAGAGCACCTCCTGATTGCCAGAAGGGTCCATTCTGCTCTCAGGGAACTCATGGCCAAGCCCCAGTGCAAGCAGGCAGTGTGCTGGATCTGGGAGCAGAGACAGGCTACTGAGGAGGAGATTGGAAATGCTGTCTAGGCATGCAGAGCTTGGTGTTAGAGAAGTGGAAGTTATCTTGTAGTTGATGCCTCAAAGGATGTCTAGGGTAACTAAGAAAACATTCTTGATGCTACACTGGTCATAGAAAGCTGAGCAAGGAGAACATGATTCTGCCACTGAATAAAACAGGTGAGGTGCTGAGTGCCTTAGTCGTCAAGACCATTTTGCATAGTTGAGAGAACTCCGATCAAGGGTTAAAGATCTGAATCAGAGATTACTCGAGGAAACTTCACCCATAATAAGTCCAGGGCCCACTGAGCTGCATCAAGTGGTGCTGAGAGAAAGTGGGCAAAAGTCTTAGGAAAGCAACTCTCTCTCTCATGTTTGAAAGGTCATGGAGAATCAGAGATTTCTGATTAACTGGAACCAGGCTTTTTACAGCAGTGCATATTGTGAGGCTGAGAGGCAACACGAGTAACTGAGACAAGGATTCAGCCTGGATAGAAAGACATCTTTTTCCATGAGGATTGGCAGGCAGTGGAGGTTGCCCAGAAAGGCTTTTGCAGGGTCTGTCAAACCTTGAAGGCATTTAAGATGCCTGAAAAAAAAGCCCTGAGTAGCATGGTCTGATCTCCCAGTGACCTCCTGTGAGGTCAAGCAGGAGGCTTGACAAGAGACTTCCATCAGTCTCTTCTGACCTGAATTACCCTATGATTATATAGTAATACTTTCTGTTTCATTCTGTCTTTCTTAATTATTTTATTCTGCTTTTAATTGTTATTCTCTTTCATGTGTGGAACTGATACTTTCATGGAACAATCTGCCATAAATTCCAAGTTTTTAATAATGCTAGATAGCACATAATTTTCTGTTAATTTTAGGGTTACTTAGGACCATCTCTCTCACTGTACACTTATCAGTGTTGAATTCAGCTTTCTTGTTCTATAGATACTTGGTCTTCTACCTCCCGTCTGTCAATTCATCTTTGCCAGCTCTTGTTTTTACAGCACTGTATATTTCTGTACTGAGCAAACGTGGTCAAAACTTGCTCCCCTTTCTAGATCACTTCTGAATTTTACCTACCAGTGCAGTCTTGATTAATTTGCACTAACCTCCCTTCAGGCTGGAACAGATGCCCTCTTTGGAGACTGCATAAGTTAGATTAGTATTAGCTGTGTACTGTTTGACTTGTTGGAGGTTTTTGGTATTGTTTGTGGTGGCTCTTTTTGGTTAGTTGATTTGTTTTCTTTTGGTTTTTTTTTATGAGAAGGATTTACTTACTTGCAGTTTACCTGTATTTAATGCTGTAGATAATGCAGTGGAAAGACTTTATTTGTTCTACAATCTCCCTTCCCACTGAGGTTTTTCTGTTCTTAGGTCTCTTTCCTCTCAGCATCTAGTAATCTAATTGGTGTTTGAATTTTCTGTTTTCCTAGTTTGTGTTTCCCTTGATCATCTCTCCCTCTTTCTTTATTCTGTCACATGCATAGCTCTTTTTACAAAAGCAGAAACATTGCATTAGTGTTAATATAAAGAAACATATTATTTCCATGAAGATCTTCATGGACCTAATATGACTTGGTGTTTTACTTTCTCTGTTGTGCAGTCAGATTTTACATTCCATAGTAGTCCCAAATCTCAAGATGACTGATTTTTATGTGTGTGTGCGTTTCTGTAAAATACATTTATACACAGGAAACTGCAAATGTTTAAATAAATGTTTTCATGGAAACTCGAATTTTTAATTCAGTAACCACAGAGATAAGAACACAGGCCAGAGAATGTAAAAACCTATGCTAGACCTATGATCTCATGTTATTTATACCCAGCCTGCAACTTTATACCTTGAAAACAGATTATAAAGAGACCTAGCTAGTGCTTATGGTCACCAACCATACTATGTGAAAGTATGTGGTGTCTGGAACTATAATGGTTTGACCCTGAAAGATAGTGAAATGTCTGGATTTACATCTGTGGGATATAATTCAAGTAAACCATTGAAAGATTTATAACTTCAGTTGGTTGAAAATTTAGGTTATTAATATTGTCTATCAGTCAGGAAGATTTATGTTTCAAACAACCATCCCAGGAAATTTAATGCATGTTAATTTAGAACATTAGCTAATACCATATTTATTTATCCACAGGGCAGATTGACTACTTGGGTTGCATTGACTATGTAGGAGTATTTTCTTGCTTTCTTTGGGAGTCTTTTGAAACCTGACACATCACATAGGTCAACAATATCTAAATGTTAACTACTGTCAGTCACAATGATATATTGTGTAATATAACCTAAAACTAAATTGCAAAGAAAGAAAAATCTTCCTTCTATTTAAGGGGTGCTTGTTAAGAAAAAAAAAGATTGACGTTTTGACAGTTTCCTTATATAGTGAATGTTGTTTTTTATAGGCACCAATTAACTGACTTAGTCAAATGCAGTCATAAATGGTTTGTTGTATTTGCTTTAAGAGCATGAAATTCCTTAATAGACATTTGCAGTGAGTGACAGAAAACCCTAACAAGATTCAAACATTGCTGGAAATACTGCTTTTTAACCTGTATTTATTTGTGCCATAGAGAAATTTACTCATGTGGAAGTCATTCTCTTCTGCAGAGGAA